GGAAGACGCGCGCGTGTTTTGAGATGAATGAAACAAGAAGCAGTTAGCTCGTGCAAGCACCCCCAGTTCGTCTCGCGGCATAGGCAGGCGTAGACGCCATGGTTAACTTGTCCTCGGGGCAACGGCAGTCAGTCGTGATCGACGACCGAATTATGGGGGTTCCGATCGATTTGATTGGCAAGAAGGGGAGACGCCTTGGGCCTCCACTGCTGATGAACTCCTATAAAAATTGTCGCGGTGTCATGTGTCCCACGTTCAGCGTCCTGATATTGTTGAGAAGCATATTTTTTGTCTGTCTATTTCGAGTACAGCCATAAGCAAAACGCAGCGCACGTACGTGCATTGACGCATCGCGCGAAGGCATCAATCGTCGGAAAAAACACTCCGCCTAGGAAACGATTTCTGAGGCGATCGGATACAGGATAATGCAAAACCACAACATCGTAAGAGCTGGCTCCTCCAAAACGAACGCACTTGCTCGGCGTCGAAGCGCGCCATGTTCTTTCCGGAGAACGCAACAATATTATACGGAGCCGCCCGCGGACGACACAGCATGTCAAGCGTGTCCGCGTTCTGTGTCCCGCTGCAAGGCCGCCGTCTTAGCAATGATCAGCGTTCCAAGCTAGCACACAAATGGTCACACCCATTTCTGACCCGCACACGATTTTTTTTGTCTCCTTATGATCGTTTACGGTAGGGTGGCTGCGTAATTTTTGTGATACAGGCGCAGTGCGCCATGGATACTAACTAATACCGATGAACAAAAGTATTTCCAAATTAAAACACACGTGGGTGGACCCCACGCAATGATCTTCGAACGAACGAGACGCCAGTTCACCAATACACGATTTACTTCGAAACACATACGCCTAACCTCGGACGATGAACCTATACCTCTCGTGTCGAAACGCCGCGCGGGGAGGAAACCACCGCTTACAATGTACAACCAACCAGCCAGACTCCCGCGATGCTTGCGGGTTCAATTCGCTACGCTGTAGGCATCGTCGCCTCGTTTGTTAAAACCCACAACACCACCTTCATCAAAGTGCTTCCTATGAGAAGCTGACTGTAACAAGAGAGACGACATGTCAGCCCCTCAGATTTACGCCCGCCCCTGCAAATCAACCGCCGCCACAAAGCAAGGCAGAAACGACGCAAGACATCGAACTCTTACGACAAGAGACAGACCATCACGGAGGGCCCGAGCGGCAAAAAACAAGCCGCACAGGCGTCAACAAAGCTAGCATGAGTTTCCAACACGAACAACTCAGGGCGACGGATCTCACACCCGTCGGTAAGCCACACACACCGACACAGATGCGATCTGTACGACCATGGCACCTCTTCGGCCGCCTTTCGCCACTGCGTTGCTACCGCAAGTCCACCCTGCCGCCGCCGCCGCCGCCGCCCACCCTTCCCCCGCCCCCGCCGGAATTCATCCCCACCCAGCCCCCCGCCGTGCCGGTGCCCCAGGCGGAACAACCGCCCGTGGGCCGCCCTTCGCGGTTTGTTGGCTTCCTCCTGCTCCTGGCGACGGCAGCGGCCTTCTTTGTTCTCGCTTGCTCCAGCTCCTGCCTCTGCCGGTACAGGTGCACTGGGTCGGCCTTGGTCCCGACCTTGCTCGTGCGGGCGACGCGGGCGAGGTTCTCCCGGATCGCCACGGAGGACAGGGGGGCCGCCGCCGCCGCCGCCGCCGGCGTCGAAGGCGTTCGCCGCCTGGGGGGCGGGGTGTTCTCGTCGTCAACGACGACGACGGCCCTCCGAGTGGAAATCCCGGGGCTTGTTCTGGTGGTCAGCGGCGGGGAACGCGCAACGTGTTGCGCCGACCGCGGGCGTGCCCGTGGCGGTGGCGGTGTGGTCAGTACCTCTAGGAGTGCCTCCCTTCCTCCCCATCCTCCCCCGTCCGGTCTAGCCCGATTCAGCTGCACACCAGTCACGGGCGAGTGAGTGCCGCCCCACGGCAGCGGGAATGCTTGCTGGCTGCCGTTGACCCGCCGCGCTCCCACGATACTGCCCTTGGTTTCTCTAAGAACGGCCGCAGCGCAAACGTTTTCTTTTCCAGCAGGTTCGGGAGAGACTGGGGGCCGGCTTCGCCGGAGGAAGAGTCTTACAGGCTGCTGCTGCTGCTGGGTAGACGACATCGACTGCGCGATTAACTGGTCAGCACTCATCACTCCTTTCCTCCGTATAGATGCCACGGGATCTCTTCTGCTGGTGTTGTTGTTGTTGTTGTTGTTGTTGCTGTTGCCGCCAACGGCCCCGTTCGGAGGTTCTGCGGGGGCGGCCGCCACGGTGGCCTGCAACGGCTGCCTCGGGTTGTCTGGCACCGCCGCCTTCCGCCGCCATGCCGTGTGCATGCCGTTTCGATGGCGCACGAAGCACGACGACCCGCTCGCGGAGACATGCTCGTTTTCCTCGCCTCGGCGGTCTGCCCTTGCGGCCAGAGGTGGTGGCGGCGACGGCGACGCCTCCGCCGCCTGTCGGAGCGCCGTGCCTCCATCGCCGATGTCGGGGGCAAATCGCACCCTCAATGGGGTCGACGAACTGACGGCCTGTCTGACGGAAACCACTGGTTCCGTCGTTGTTGCTCGTTGTTCGGCACGGTTGCCGCTGTTCCATCTAGGAGATGCCCTCTCGCCTCCCGGCATCGTCGTCGACGCTGCTGCGGCGTGGTCATCGTCCAACAAGGACAGCTCCAGATTGCTACATGTAGCGCCGCCATCTTCCTCAGTCTCGAGTACGACATCGCCTCGGAATATCGGCACGCCCAGGAAGGACTCGTCGGGCAGGTCGTCTGCTGGACGGCATTGCTGCTGCTGCTGCCGGCTGTCCCTGCCGTCGGTTGCTAGAGCCGTGGCGTCGTCGTCCAGCTGATGGCTTGGATCGCTGCCGTTGTCGTAATAGTCGCCTCCACCGCGAGGTTTGAAATGTTGTGGGTCTTGAGGTGCGGAGGATCGTGGAGGCCATTGCGGGAGGCGATAGGGTAGCGACATGAGGACCAATGGGCAGCGAGAGTGCCGCGACCTTCAATAGAGAGGCCTCGTTGCGTGTCGGGGTGGGAGTCGACAGCAGTGCCGCCAACCGACAGCAGTCGAAGGCACTCCCCACAAGCGAGCACGCGAAGCACGCGGCCGGGGGGCTCCGCGGATGAGATAAATAGCAACGGTCGCTTTGACAGGAGCGACACATCCATGCTCTCCCCTCTCCCCTCTGCTCTCCGCTCTTTCCCCACTTGCCTGCATATCCCACTCCTCCGGCGGCGCTCTCTTGCAAGCGTACTATATTTCCTTCGTCGGAACAGCGCTTGTTTACCTAAGAGAGAGATAGGAAAGAGAGGTGGAAGAGCGAGGAATCAAGTCGTGCCGTTACGCTTGTTGTTGGGTGTTTTGACGAAGCCTCTCGCGGCAGCTCGGTGATCAGCAGGGGTAACAGCAGCAGTCCAACATCCTTGCAGAGCACCAGAGGAGCAGCTCTAACGACACCAACAGCTATGTTGTCAGGGAGAGCAGGATGCTCCCAACCCCACGCCATCGAGCAAGCCAGGTACGCGCCAATGGGTACTCGGAAATCATTCCTAACGCTTTAATTCCAAACCGTCGGATTGCAACCGGCCACCGACGGGTGTTCACAACGGCAGCAGCAGTCAATCGCATGATCACCCCTGTACTTCTAAAGTATTGTCGTCACAACGGTACGATTATCAAGCGTTTTCAACCTAGGGCTGGTGTCTATACTCCGGTTACGGTTCTGTCGGTGGGGGAGTCAGCAATGCCAGCAGCACTTGCCGGGACGCATGTAGATTCGAGCAGCGCAGAAGCGATCTGTGTTTACATCTGTACGCACAGCGCGCATTTATTTTGAAGTTCTGTTTCGATCAGGGCTAGATCATGCGCCATGCAGGGCAAATCGAGTTCATGTGCAGGGTAGGGCTGTGGACTCTTGCCTTTCTCATCTGCTGTGCTGCACGGCGATGATGGGCTCGTCTCCTGTGTTTATTCAGAGAGATTGTGGGGCGTGCCTCATACAAAGCAACCGCTGGTAGAAAAAACCACCTGCCTGACAGGTGACGCAAGATATCACACCTCCCAGGACCGATCTTTAAAGTTCGACATTACTCCTAGCAGAAGGAACGAATGGCGGAGCCGAAATTGCGGCGTCGGAACCGTCTCGTGGAGAGCTTTCGGAAGACCTATCTTTTGATGTTGGCATCCTCTTCGTCCTTCGAGTAGTCGAGCTTTGAAAATCGGTTCAGGGGCGCGGGTGGTATCTTACGTCACCCAGTATGCTCCTACCCCAAGCACATTTACTTACCACAACAGCGGATGACGTCCCGTAGACTATAGCAGTACGTGGAACGACATCACGGCAACCTAGTACACGGAACTACGCGCCACCACTCAAATTCATTAACCTGGGCTCAAGAAAACATTCCATATTTTTTTCTAACTTGACCGACGAACAGGTGCTTAGTCGGGAAGCATGAGAGCATAGCCTACGCTAAAATCTACCAGTACCTCGAATCACCAATATCTATACAACAGTAGTCCATGTTGGATTACCCCATATTTGGAGGCCTCATCTCTCATGGAGTCAAATTGCAGACGTTGGAACGTCAACTCACGTAAAGTCGACAGTTCCTTGGCGCAAGTGGCAACAAACACTTGAAGGCCACCTGGAGGCAGGATCAAAAGGGTCTGTTGTCTATTACTTACGAAGTAGGAAACATAAATACAAACACGGTTGTCTACCTTGTGTTTGGCAAGGCAATGCCAAGTTTGACCTTACCTTAGCAGGTCATCCTGAGGTGTGAAGTATATATGTATATGTATACGTATAATGGGTGTCGGCAGCAGGTGTCAGCAGAGAGAGGAGGCGCAGTCGTCATGTTGCATTCTTACGCGGATAAATTT